ATATGAGATGATACTAGAGAGGTAGGAATGGGCAATACCACACTGCCTAATTTGGTGGCTTTGAGTATTACCCTAAGGGCAATGAGAAGCCACTGATGAATTTTAAGCAAAGGAATGATATGATTAGATTTGATTTGTGAAAAGCTCACAGAGAGAGACTGGATCATAAGATGAAATGGATCATAAGTCTCAGAGAGACTAAGATACTACTAAAGTAGTCCAGGCCAAAAATGATCTGCCTTAAATATGTAAATGGATATTGAGTATCTTCCTTTCACTGTTATTCCAGTTGCTTTATTTAAATGAGTGTGATTTTTGCATGGTTCCATATCTGGTCTGGCAGAACCCTGAAAACCAATTCAGTTTTTATAGAGTATAGGATTTAGCCAAGCACTGTGCTAGATTTTCACATACCAATCTAGGAAATAGGAATTTCAGAACATGTAATTGTGCTTGTGAGGAACCTTGACATAGACCAAGAGGCAGTCATTCGAACAGAACAAGGGGATACTACGTGGTTTAAAATCAGGAAAGGTGTGTGTGTGTCAGGGTTGTATTCTTTCACCATATATATTCAGTCTCTATGCTGAGCAAATAATCAGAGAAGTTGGATTATATGAAGAAGAACATGGTGTCAGGATGGGAGGAAGATTCATGAACAAACTGCAGTATGCAGATGACACAACCTTCCTTGCTGAAAATGAAGATGACTTGAAGCATGTACTGATGAAGATCAAAGACTACAGCCTGCAGTATGAATTTTACCTCAATGTAAAGAAAACAAAAATCCTCACAACTAAACCAATAGGTGTCGGCTTTATAAATGGAAAAAAGATTGAAGTTGTCAAGGATTTCTTTTTATTTGGATCTATAATCAATGTCCATGGAAGCAGCAGTCAAGAAATCAGATGACGTATTGTGTTGGGCAAATCTGCTGCAAAAGACCTCTTTAAAGTGTTTAAGAGCGAACATGTCACTAAGGTACGCCTAACCCAAACCATGGTATTTTCAATAACTTCATATGCATGGGAGCGAGAGCTGGACAGTGAGTAAGGAAGAGGGCAGAGAACTGATGCTGTTGAATTATGTTAGTGAAGATTATTGAAGGTACCATGGAATCCTAGAAGAACAAACAAATCTGTCTTGGAGAAAGTGTAGCCAGAATGTTCTTCAGAAGCAAGAATAGCCACACTTCATCTCTCCTACTTTTTGATCATGTTGTCTGAAGGGACCATTCCCTGGAGAAGGATATCATGCTGGGTAAAGTAGAGGGTCAGCAGAAAAGGGGAAGACTCAGTGAGATGGATTGACACAGTGGCTGCAATGATGGGCTTAAAGCACAGCAAGGATTGTGAGAATGGTGCAGGACCAGGCAGTGTTTCATCCTATTGTACATAGAGGGTCGTTGTGAGTTGAAACTGACTCAACAGCACCTAACAACAACAAAAGCAATGTTACTAACCATTTGCTTTTCATTCAACAAATATTTATTGAGCTTTTACTAAACCCAAGGCATGTTAATCACTTGTTTTAATGTTATATTAATTACTGTTACAGCTTCCCCTATCATCCTTCGTCAAATTATGAGCTGGTGTACATGCTAAAAATAAGTAACGCTGTTGTGTCATGATCAGTTTTTGAGCTGTCTCAAAAGTAATTTGTTACTGCATGAACTGCTATATGGAAAATGAATTTGATCTGCAAACTTTCACCCAAATCACAATAAAAACTTCTAAAAAAAATGATTTGTTACCAAAAATGTTTATGAATGATTTATTTTTAAAAGTCAAATTGAAGGCTTTAATTTCTGACAGTATGACAGTCTGGAAGTTAAATGAAACCGCTCCTGGTTTAGTGCTCGTAAAGGTGCTGAGTAAACATTGAAAAATGTGTGTGCCTGTGTGTATGTAATACATAATTTGTAATATATATATTTGTATCCATTCCAGAGAAAGATGATCCAATAGAATGTGGATATTATCAAACAATGTCATTGATATGACACACAAATAAAATTTTGCTAAAGGTGATTCAAAAACGGTTATAGCAGTATATTGACCAGGAACTTCCAGAAATGCAAGCTGGATTCAGAAGAGGACGTGGAACGAGAGACAACATTGCTGATGTCAGATGGATCTTGGCTGAAAGCAACGAATACCAGAAAGATGTTTACTTGTGTTTTATTCACTGTGCAAGAGCATTCAACTTTGTGGATCATAACAAATTATGAATAACATTGAGAAGAATAGGAATTCCGGAGCACTTAATTGTGCTCATGAGGAACCTGTCCATAGACCAGGAGGCTGTTGTTTGGACAGAACAAGGGGACACTGCATGGTTTAATGTCACGAACAGTGTGTGTCAGCGTTGTATCCTTTCACCATACTTAGTCTGTATGCTGAGCAGATAATCTGAGTAGCTGGACTATATGAAGAAGAATGGCTTCAGGATTGGAGGAAGGATTTAACAACCTGCGATACATAGACAACACACCTTTGCTCGCTGAAAGTGAGGATGACTTGAAGCACTTACTGATGAAGACTAAAAACTTCAGTCTGCAGTATGGATTACATCTCAACATAAAGAAAACAAAAATCCTCACAACTAGACCAATAAGCAGTAACATGATAAACAGAAAACACTTAAAGTTGTTAAAGATTTCATATTACTTGGTTCCACAGTCAACACCAATGGAAGCAGCAGTGAAGACATTAGATGACATATTGCACTTGGCAAATCTGCAAAAGACCTCTTTCAAGGGCTGAAAAGCAAAGATGTCTCCCTGAAGACTAAGGTGCGCTTAACCCAAGCTGTGGTATTTTCAGTCTCCTCATATGCATGTGAGAGTTGGGCAATGAATAAGGAAAACAGAAGAAGAGTTGATATTTGAGTTGTAGTGTTGGCAAAGAATACTGAAAGTACCATGGACTGCCAAAAGAACTAACAAACCTGTCCTGGAAGAAGGGTAGTCAGAATGCTTCTTGGAAGCGAGAATGGCCAGACTTCGTCTCACCTATTTTGGTCATGTAGTCAGAAGGGACCATTCCCTAGAGAAGGATATCATACTTGGTAAAGTGAAGGGTCAGCGAAAAAGGGGAAGACCCTCAACAAGATGGATTGCCATAGTGGGTGCAGTGATGGGCTCAAGTATAACAGGTACTGTAGTGCATACTACATGAACAGTCATTGGCCAGAAGACCAATAAACATGAAATGAATTACCAATAAACACATAAAAAGTTGTTCAGCCTCATTTTAGTACTCAGGGAAATGCTGATTAAAGGCATAAGATAAGCATTTTGTATCCATAAGATTTGTAGAAATTAAAAAGTTTGACAATGCTTGGTGTAGACACCAAAAACCGAACTCACTGCCGTTGAGTCAGCTTGACTCATGGACCCCTCCTTGGGTTTCCGAGGTGGTATCTCTGTGGAAGTAGATTGCCCAGCCTTCCTTCTGAGGAGTGACTGGTGGATTTGAACCACCAGCCTTCTGGTTAGAGTCAGATGCCTTAGGCACTATGCCACCAGAGCTTCTTAGTGTATTCAGGGATGTAGAATAATAGGAACCCTTATACATTGTTGGTGGAGTGTGAGTTAAACTGATGATTTCAGAAAATGGTTTAGCATTACCTGCTAATGATGAACACATGCATACTCAACAATGCTGTAATTCCATTCCTAAGTAAATCCCAGTGTGAAGAGATTCTTATATATGTAACTCCAAGAGAAAATACAGAAGTATTCATTACACCGTTGTTTATAAATAAAGTCCAAAAACATGGAAAGTTAAATATTATATTCCTTAGAGATGATATATATGAATGTTTAAAAACATGAAAAGAGTTTCAAATTCAAGGTGATGATTTCCTTTTAGGGCACAGAGAGGTATGTGATCAAGTAGGGGCATATGAGGGTTCGATGGAGTTTTTTCTTGAGCTGAAAGGTGAACATGTGGGTGTAAATGTTTTTGTTTATTAAAACCAAAAACAGCCTATTGTCATAGAGTCAATTCTGACTTAAAGCGGCACTATAGGACAGAGTAGATCTTCTGCCATAGGGTTTCTAAGGCTGTAATCTTTATGGGATGCAAACTGCCACATCTTTCTCCTGCTTATTACTACTTAAAAAGTACTTCTATCTGATAAATACTTTATGTGATATGTTTCATAATTTTAAAAAATATTGCAATAGATGAGAGATTTCTATGACAATATCACTCTCATTTCCATTATAATATGCGTCCTTGAGTGGGTAACAGTAGGATGGCACTGAAGCTAATAGATGCAGAAGTATGTGTGGGAGGATGACATACATTTGAACATGTCCCTCATGTATCATGAAAAATGATTGAGAACCACTGCTGTGAGCGTCTATAGTTTAGTCGTGTAGGCAGAAACAACTGTAGTATCATCAGTGTTCCACTAGGGGTATATAAAAAAGATGGGGGACAGCTGGAGATCACTTAGGAAAGCTTTAGGGAGTAGATGTTTTTTAAACTGGGTCTTTCAAAAATGAGCGTTTTATAAGGGGAATTCTCATCATCTTACACATTTGAGGAGCTCACATTCCCCAGAGAAGGAAAAGCATGTACAAAGACACAGAGGATGGAAAGTCTGTTGAGAGTTGAGTGAGTCAGTTCAGACTTTAGGAGCTTTACTGTGAAGAGCCTTTTTAACATACTAAGGAGTTTGCACTGTGGGCATCAGGGTTTTATCACTTGAATGGGGGTATGCAAGACTATGCTAGAAGTTACCTTGAAAGTATAAATATATGTATATTTATGTTCAAGGAGTCCTGGTGACTCAGTAGTGAAGCACTCAGCTGTTAACCTTAAGGTCAGCAATTTAAACCCACCAGTGGGTCCACAGAATAAAAGGCCTGACTATCTGCTTCCATAAAGATTACAACCTAGGGAAACCCCATGGGGCAGTTCTGCTTTGTCCTACAGGGTCACTATGAGTTAGAATTGACATCCTTATGTTCTCTTTCCTTCTTACAGGCTGCTATATGGCAAGCACTAAACCACTATGCATACCGAGATGCAGTTTTCCTCGCAGAAAGACTGTATGCAGAAGGTATGCAATCTGTTCATTGCTATAGGACTATAAACAAAAAGTAAGATAAATGGAATTTCATCCTGTTTTATGACCATACCAAGATTCTGGGTAGTCTTTTGATCCTTACTGTTCTTTTTTTTCTTTTTTAATAATTGCCACTAGTTCGTAAAAACTTTATCTGTAGCTCTGTTATATGTTACTTTTAATAACTATAGAGTTTATATAGTCATTTGCCAGTCTTCAAGTATTTTTCCCAAGGTTTTCATTAGAACATAATTATGTTCTGTGACTAAGATCATGGAGTTATTTAGATCCTATGGCCAAATCCTAACCTAATCACTATAGCTGTGAAACCTTGCACAGATTACTTAATCTCAGTATTTCAGAGTTTTCATCTATAAAATAGGGAATATAAAAATTTCTCATAGAAATCAGTGGAAGAACTCAATGAGATAATGTATTTAAAGCACTTAGCCTTCTTAAATGCTCAGTAAACATCTACTGTTAATGTATGTTTTATTTCTGTCCTTAAATTACTATAATTCTCTTTGTAAGAAGCTGATATAGAATATTATGTACAGCATTTTGTTTGTTTTCATTCATTTCCTTGAGTTGTATATTCTAAAATGGAGTATCCAGTACAAAGGGTATGATCGATTCTATTACAAATTACCTTTTGGCCAGTTCACCCAGCAGAGAGATCATTGTTCATGATCAGTAAATGGTAAATCTGTGCTGACTCCACTTCTCCAAGCAACTACCAGCCACTCTTCTAACTTGTAACCATAGTTGTTGTTGTTAGGTGCCATAGAGTCAGTTCCAACTCATAGCGACCCTGTGTACAACAGAACAAAACACTGCCTGGTCCTGTGCCATCCTCCGAATCCTTGCTGTGCTGAATGAAGCCTGTTGTTGTAGCAGCTGTGTAAATTCATCTCATTGAGGGTCCTCCCCTCCTTTGCTGACCCTCTGCTTTACCAAGTGTGATATCCTTCTCCAGGGAATGATCCCTTCTGACTACATGACCAAAGTAGGTGAGACGAAGTCTGGCCATCTCACTTCTAAGGAGCATTCCAGCTGCTCTTCTTCCAGGACAGATTTGTTCATTCTTCTGACAGTCCGTAGTATTTTCAGTATTCTTCACCAACACCACAATTCATAGATATCAACTCTTCTTCTGTCTTCCTTATTCATTATCTAGCTTCCACATGGATATGAGGCCATTGAAAATACTATGGCTTGGGTTTGGGGCACCTTACGTTTGAAAGTGACATCTTTGCCTCTCAGCTCTAAAGAGGTCTTTTGCAGCAGGTTTGCCCAATGCAATATGACATCTGACTTCCTGACTGCTACTTCCATGAGTGTTGACTATGGATCCAAGTAAAATAAAATCCCTGACAACTTCAATCTTTTCTCTGTTTATCATGATACTGCTTATTGGTCCCATTGTGAAAATTTTTGTTTTCTTCATGTTGAAATGTAATCCATACTGAAGGCTATAGTCTTTGTTCTTCGTCAGTAAGTGCTTCAAGTCATCTTCACTTTCAGCAAGCAAGGTTGTGTCATCTGCATATCACAGGTTGTTAATGGCTCTTCCTCTAATCCTGATGCTGTGTTCTTCTTCGTATAGTCCAGCTTCTCAGATCACTTGGTCAGCATACGGACTGAATAAGTATGATGAAAGGATACAACCTTGATGTACACCCTTCCTGATTTTAAACCATGCAGTATCCCCTTGTTCTGTTTGAATGACAGCCTCTTGGTCTATGTATGGGTTCCTCATAAGAGCAATTAAATGTTCTGGAATTCCCATTCTTTGCAATGTTATCCATAATTTGTTATGATCCATGTAGTCTAATGTCCTGGCATAGTCAATAAAACACAGGTAGACATCTTTCTGGTATTCTTTGCTTTCAGCTAAGATCCACCTGACATCAGCAATGTCCTCTTCTGAATCCAGCTTATATTTCTGGAAGTTC